AAGTACAGAAATTTAAGTATCTGGGCACATGGATAACATCAGATGGAAGATGCATAACTGAGATAAGAAACAGAATAGGGCAGACAAATAGTGTCATTTTATAAAATGAAAACCATCTTGTGCAATATATCCTTGTCATTGAGAGTTAGAAAACGAATTCTTGCTTGCTACATACATCCAGTTTTAACATATGGCTGTGAATCCTGGACAATCGGTAAGGAGGCCAAACAGTTTCTAAAAGCCGCGAAGATGTGGTTTTACAGAAGAATGCTTAGAATACCTTGGACAGCCAAAAAGAGTAACCAAGAGGTTTTGAAAGAGGCGGGAGCCCAAAGACAACTTATCACAGACATCAGAAGGAGACAGTCATCATTTTTCGGCCATGTTATGAGAATAGGGAAAATAGAACATGTTGTGACCACTGGAAAGATCTGTGGAAGGAGGGATAGAGGAAGACAACGAGAGAAGATTCTTGACAGTCTTGTTGCATGGCATGGAGGTGTGTCGGCACACGAACTGATACATGCTGCAGAAGATCGCAGATTATGGAGAGGCATGATCGCCCACGTCGGTCGGCAAGGCACCTGATGATGATGATGATCTTTAGATGTACAGTAAAACTTGAACTTACCGTCACTCGTTTAGCCGTCAGTTTCTCTTTTAGTCACCGCATAAAATAAAATAACAATCGTAAATTGCATCAAGCAAACAAACAAACAGATCTCTTTAAAAGTGTCAACGGATACTTTTTCACCCTACAGTGTGATACTGGAATTGTGTGTACTGTGTGATGGCTAAATGACTGTACTGTGTGATGGCTGAATGACTGTACTGTGTGGTGGCTAAATGACTATACTGTGTGATGGCTGAATGACTGTACTGTGTGATGGCTGAATGACTGTACTGTGTGGTGGCTAAATGACTGTACTGTGTGATGGCTGAATGACTGTACTGTGTGGTGGCTAAATGACTGTACTGTGTGATGGCTGATTGACTGTACTATGTTGTGGCTAAATGACTGTACTGTGTGATGGCTGAATGAATGTACTTTGTGATGGCTAAATGACTGTACTGTGTGATGGCTAAATGACTGTACTGTGTGATGGATGAATGACTGTACTTTGTGATGGCTAAATGACTGTACTGTGTGGTGGCTAAATGACTGTACTGTGTGATGGCTGAATGACTGTACTTTGTGATGGCTAAATGACTGTACTGTGTGGTGGCTAAATGACTGTACTTTGTGATGGCTAAATGACTGTACTGTGTGGTATCTAAATGACTGTACTGTGTGATGGCTAAATGACTGTACTGTGTGATTGCTAAATGACTGTACTTTGTAATGGTTAAATGACTGTACTGTGTGATAGCTAAATGACTGTACTGTGTGATGGCTGAATGACTGTACTGTGTGATGGCTGAATGACTGTACTGTGTGATGGCTAACTGACTGTACTGTGTGATGGCAAAATGACTGTACTTTGTAATGGCTAAATGACTGTGCTGTGTGGTGGCTAAATGACTGTAATGTGTGATGGCTGAATGACTGTACTTTGTGATGGCTAAATGACTGTACTGTGTGATGGCTGAATGACTGTACTTTGTAATGGCTAAATGACTGTACTGTGTGATGGCTGAATGACTGTACTGTGTGATGGCTAAATGACTGTACTATGTGATGGCTAAATGACTGTACAATGTGATGGCTGAATGACTGTACTATGTTCTGGCTGAATGACTGTACTATGTGATGGTTGAATGACTGTACTGTGTGATGGCTGAATGACTGTACTGTGTGATGGCTGAATGACTGTATTTTGTGATGGCTAAATGACTGTACTGTGTGATGGCTAAATGACTGTACTGTGTGATAGCTAAGTGACTGTACAATGTGATGGCTAAATGACTGTACTGTGTGATGGCTGAATGACTGTACTGTGTGATGGCTGAATGACTGTACTGTGTGATGGCTGAATGACTGTACTGTGTGATGGCTGAATGACTGTACTGTGTGATGGCTGAATGACTGTATTTTGTGATGGCTAAATGACTGTACTGTGTGATGGCTAAATGACTGTACTGTGTGATAGCTAAGTGACTGTACAATGTGATGGCTAAATGACTGTACTGTGTGATGGCTGAATGACTGTACTGTGTGATGGCTGAATGACTGTACTGTGTGATGGCTGAATGACTGTACTGTGTGATGACTGAATGACTGTACTGTGTGATGGCTGAATGACTGTACTATGTGATGGCTGAATGACTGTACTGTGTGATGGCTGATTGACTGTATTGTGTGATGGCTGAATGACTGTACTGTGTGATGGCTGAATGACTGTTCTATGTGATGACTGAATGACTGTGCTGTGTGATGACTGAATGACTGTACTGTGTGATGGCTGAATGACTGTGCTATGTGATGGCTGAATGACTGTACTGTGTGATGGCTAAATGACTGTACTGTGCGATGGCCGGAACTTACCATTATCGGTGGCTGAGGAGTAAAGCATGTTCTTGGGCACCACAAACCTATCACTAGCCAGTCGCTATGAGCATGATCTGGGGCACCACAAACCTATCACTAGCCAGTCGCTATGAGATGATCTGGGGCACCACAAACTTATCACTAGCCAGTCGCTATGAGATGATCTGGGGCACCACAAACTTATCACTAGCCAGTCGCTATGAGATGATCTGGGGCACCACAAACTTATCACTAGCCAGTCGCTAGGAGCATAATCTGGGGCACCACAAACCCTTCACTAGCCAGTCGCTATGAGCATAATCTGGGGCACCACAAACCTATCACTAGCCAGTCGCTATGAGCATAATCTGGGGGCACCACAAACCTATCACTAGCCAGTCGCTATGAGCATAATCTGGGGGCACCACAAACCTATCACTAGCCAGTCGCTATGAGCATAATCTGGGGGCACCACAAACCTATCACTAGCCAGTCGCTATGAGATGATCTGGGGCACCACAAACTTATCACTAGCCAGTCGCTATGAGATGATCTGGGGCACCACAAACTTATCACTAGCCAGTCGCTATGAGATGATCTGGGGCACCACAAACTTATCACTAGCCAGTCGCTATGAGCATAATCTGGGGCACCACAAACCTATCACTAGCCAGTCGCTATGAGATGATCTGGGGCACCACAAACTTATCACTAGCCAGTCGCTATGAGCATAATCTGGGGCACCACAAACTTATCACTAGCCAGTCGCTATGAGCATAATCTGGGGGCACCACAAACCTATCACTAGCCAGTCGCTATGAGATGATCTGGGGCACCACAAACTTATCACTAGCCAGTCGCTATGAGCATAATCTGGGGCACCACAAACCTATCACTAGCCAGTCGCTATGAGCATAATCTGGGGCACCACAAACCTATCACTAGCCAGTCGCTATGAGCATAATCTGGGGCACCACAAACATATCACTAGCCAGTCGCTATGAGCATAATCTGGGGCCACCACAAACCTATCACTAGCCAGTCGCTATTGTGTTCCATAACTGGGTTCAGTCGTGACGGAGTATCCTCTGTGTTTGAATGAATGTTTTGTTTCGTAGAGCCCTGGACAATTATTTCGGCATAGCGCTAACGATGGTGCTAACGCTCTGTATTTAAAAGTTGTGTTCCATTCCGCCGCTTTCTTAATTAAGACTTTTTCTTTTTTATTATTATATTTTTTTTTTTTTTTTTAAATATGATAAAAAAATTTTTTTTGTGTGTTGATATTTCTTCTGTTGCTCTGTACAAATGTAAAACAATTTGTTCCCAAAACCCGCAGTGAAATTACGTTACCGTACATGTGTAATCAAAGATTTATGTTATCCGTCACAGGACTGGCCCGGACGGTGACGGTTAATCCAAGTTTTTTTGTACAATAAAATCGTGATAAAATAACCCTGGTTAAAACAAAAACTCGGCTAACAATAACAAAATGTTTGTCGCAGCAGGGAGGGATCCATTATTCGTAATAATTATTTCTCAGTGTTGGTGATTTTTCTGTTCCTCTGAATTCGCGTTGACTAATTTCACTATTACTACTACTACTGCTGCTGCTGCTATTAATATTACAGCTACTTTTACTGCTCCTACTACTAATACTACTACTGCTGCAGCAGCTGCTACTACTTCTACTACAGTTGCTGCTGCTGCTGCTACTACTACTATTACAACTACTTTTACTACTACTTTTACTACTACTACTACTGCTACTAATACTGCTACTGCTACTACTGCTACTACTGCTGCTACTGCTACTACTACTTCTTCTTCTTCTTCTTTGACGGTTGATACTCTGTGTTGTGATTCACAGCTATGCTGCGATATCTGCATTTCCATAATGACGTCATAATATGAACGTCGTCAAATTGAATCACAAATATTAGGCCTGCCATGCTCAGATACCGCAGCCTAGCTGTGATCCACAATACAACTTGCTAGTCGCTCTTTGAAGGGCGAAATAAAGAAGCAGAAAAAAGCAGAAAGAAGAAGAAGAAGAAGAAGAAGAAGAAGAAGAAGCAGAAGAAGAAGAAGAAGAAAAAGAAGAAGAAGAAGAAGAAGAAGAAGAAGAAGAAGAAGAAGAAGAAGAAGAAGAAGAAGAAGAAGAAGAAGAAGAAGAAGAAGAAGAAGAAGAAGAAGAAAGAAAAATAATAATAATAATAATAATAATAATAATAATAATAATAATAATAATAATAATAATAATAATAATAATAATAATAATAATAATAATAATAAAAATAATAATAATAATAATAATAATAATAATAATAAGAAGAAGAAGAAGAAGAAGAAGAAGAAGAAGAAGAAGAAGAAGAAGAAGAAGAAGAAGAAGAAGGACGAGGAGGAGAGATTTATATGTTTATATTTTCTTTATTCCGACCGAGAAATGAGAAACATCACTAGGAAAACATTATTTTTGAACCGTTTACACGTGAGTCCCTGATTGTATGACTTTCGTGTTTTTCTGTTGCAGGAGTTTGAGTGCGGTGTCCACTTTGAGTGTTCCGAGAACGCGAAACAGGAGTGGGCTTTCACACTGTATGACTTTGACGGTCATGGGAAGATTACCAAGGAGGTTTGTTTGTTGGCTCGATGGCTTGTTTGGTAGTTTAGCATCGGAGTCATTATCTTCTTTTTCTTCCTTCGTTCGCTTAAAATAAATGATCTATTTCTGCAATGCTGTCTCTAGTTTGAACTGCCCTGTCTTTTGTAGTTCACTTACTGGCCTCCATTGTTGTTTCTTTTGGCCTGAAATTTTGCCTGGAAATGTTCTTCATTATCTCATCAGCTGACTGCTTGTCTGGTTGTTTCACTGGCTGGCTGCCTGTCTGTCTGGTTGTTTCACTAGCTGGCTGCCTGTCTGTCTGGTTGTTTCACTAGCTGGCTGCCTGTCTGTCTGGTTGTTTCACTGGCTGACTGGCTGCTTGTCTGGTTGTTTCACTGGCTGCTTGTCTGGTTGTTTCACTGACTGACTGGCTGCTTGTCTGGTTGTTTCACTGGCTGACTGGCTGTCTGTCTGGTTGTTTCACTGGCTGCTTGTCTGGTTGTTTCACTGACTGACTGGCTGCTTGTCTGGTTGTTTCACTGGCTGACTGGCTGTCTGTCTGGTTGTTTCACTGGCTGACTGGCTGCTTGTCTGGTTGTTTCACTAGCTGACTGGCTGTCTGTCTGGTTGTTTCACTAGCTGACTCGCTGTCTGTCTGGTTGTTTCACTAGCTGACTGGCTGTCTGTCTGGTTGTTTCACTAGCTGGCTGCCTGATAGTTTCACTGACTGTCTGCTTGGTAGTTTCACTGACTGTCTGGTTGTTTCACTGACTGTCTGGTTGTTTCACTGACTGTCTGTCTGGTTGTTTCACTGACTGTCTGTCTGGTTGTTTCACTAGCTGTCTGGTTGTTTCACTGACTGTCTGGTTGTTTCACTGACTGTCTGTCTGGTTGTTTCACTAGCTGGCTGCCTGATAGTTTCAATGACTGTCTGCCTGGTAGTTTCACTGACTGTCTGGTTGTTTCACTAGTTGACTGGCTGTCTGTCTGGTTGTTTCACTAGCTGTCTGTCTTTTGTTTCACTATCTGTCCTACTGGTTGTTTCACTAGCTGTCTGTCTGGTTGTTTCATTGACTGTCTGTCTGGTTGTTTCATTGACTGTCTGTCTGGTTGTTTCACTGTCTGTCTGGTTGTTTCACTGACTGTCTGGTTGTTTCACTGACTGTCTGGTTGTTTCACTGACTGTCTGGTTGTTTCACTGACTGTCTGGTTGTTTCACTGACTGTCTGGTTGTTTCACTGACTGTCTGGTTGTTTCACTGACTGTCTGGTTGTTTCACTGACTGTCTGGTTGTTTCACTTACTGTCTGGTTGTTTCACTGACTGTCTGTCTGGTTGTTTCACTGACTGTCTGTCTGGTTGTTTCACTGACTGTCTGGTTGTTTCACTGACTGTCTGGTTGTTTCACTGACTGTCTGGTTGTTTCACTTACTGTCTGGTTGTTTCACTGAATGTCTGTCTGGTTGTTTCACTGACTGTCTGGTTGTTTCACTGACGGTCTGTCTGGTTGTTTCACTGACTGTCTTGTTGTTTCACTGACTGATTGATTGCCTGGTTGGTTGGTTCGTTGACAAAGATGATTGATTGCCTGGTTGGTTAGTTGACAAAGATGATTGATTGCCTGGTTGGCTAGTTGACAAAGATGATTGATTGCCTGGTTGGTTCGTTGACAAAGATGATTGATTGCCTGGTTGGTTCGTTGACAAAGATGATTGATTGCCTGGTTGGTTAATTGACAAAGATGATTGATTGCCTGGTTGGTTAGTTGACAAAGATGATTGATTGCCTGGTTGGTTGGTTGGTTAGTTGACAAAGATGACTGATTGCCTGGTTGGTTAGTTGGTTGGTTCGTTCGTTGACAAAGATGATTGATTGCCTGGTTGGTTAGTTGACAAAGATGATTGATTACCTGGTTGGTTCGTTGACAAAGAAGATTGATAGCCTGGTTGGTTAGTTGACAAAGATGATTGATTGCCTGGTTGGTTAGTTGACAAAGATGATTGATTGCCTGGTTGGTTTGTTGGTTAGTTGACAAAGATGACTGATTGCCTGGTTGGTTGGTTGGTTGGTTGGTTAGTTGACAAGTTGACAAAGATGATTGATTGCCTGGTTGGTTGGTTGGTTGGTTGACAAAGATGATTGATTGCCTAGTTGGTTCGTTGACAAAGATGATTGATTGCCTGGTTGGTTGGTTGGTTGGTTCGTTGGTTCGTTGACAAAGATGATTGATTGCCTGGTTGGTTAGTTGACAAAGATGATTGATTGCCTGGTTGGTTAGTTGACAAAGATGATTGATTGCCTGGTTGGTTCGGTGACAAAGATGATTGATTGCCTGGTTGGTTAGTTGACAAAGATGATTGATTGCCTGGTTGGTTGGTTGGTCCGTTGACAAAGATGATTGATTGTCTGGTTGGTTAGTTGACAAAGATGATTGATTGCCTCGTTGGTTAGTTGACAAAGATGATTGATTGCCTGGTTGGTTCGTTGACAAAGATGATTGATTGCCTGGTTGGTTAGGTGACAAAGATGATTAATTGCCTGGTTGGTTGGTTGGTTGGTTTGTTGACAAAGATGATTGATTGCCTGGTTGGTTAGTTGACAAAGATGATTGATTGCCTGGTTGGTTAGTTGACAAAGATGATTGATTGCCTGGTTGGTTGGTTCGATGATAAAATTATTGATTGCCTCGTTGGTTGTCTAATTTGTTGGCTTTATGTTAAGACAGGTAGTCTGGCAATAAAGGTCTCGTCATAGGTCTACTAGTCCACACATCCAGCCACCCATCCATCAATACCTCCATGGATCCATGCATCTATCCAGTCAGTATATAACGATGGAAGTAAAGAACATATATAAAGATATATTTAAAGTGGGTACAAGAAAAAAAAACGAAGTCAAATCCAGCCAGAGACTTGGAGAGATAGAGAGAGGGGGAGTGGAGGAGGGATCAGAAATGGGAGGAGAGGGCGTGATACAGATGAAAGTGAAGAGGCGGATAAAGGAGGCGAGACAGCTTGGAGAGGGACAGGAAAGAGTGGAGAGGGAGTGAAGGCCAGACGCGGAGACATAGGCTATATAGAGAGGGAGTGAAGGCCAGACGCGGAGACATAGGCTATAAAAAGGGGGCAGATAAGTATGAAAAGAGAGGCTTGACCTAAAGAGACACGGGAGAGAGATAGAAAGAGAAAAAGTAACAAAGAAAGGGAAAGATACATTGTGAGTTGCATAGGAACAAAGAAAATAACTTGAAACAAGAGTATCAGAAAGATTAGTAGGGGGAAAATAGAGTTAAAAAAGCATCACGTAAAAAAAAAGATAATAAATGGTAGAAAGAAGGGGCGAGAATAAAAGCAACCATAAGAAACAACGGCCAAAGATAAGGTTAACGGGAGACAACTAACTGTTGAACAAAAACACACAAAAAAGCCCGGTGATGTATGGAACTGTTTACCAAACACCCAGGAATAGACGGGTATTTTGGTACCCAGAGTTAATTATTTCCCCCGAGAGCATCTTTCTGAATATTTTTCCGTGCCTGAAAAATACGTTTGTGTGTGTGTGCGTGTGTGTGAGTGTGTGTGTGCGTGCGTGCGTGCGCGTGTGCGCGCGCGCGTGTTTGTTAGTCTTAGGATCATATTTGTCTGTCTGTCTGTCTGTCTGTCTGTCTGTCTGTCTGTCTGTCTGTCTGTCTGTCTGTCTGTCTGTCTGTCTGTCTGTCTGTCTGACGGATTAGAATCATAAGCACAAGGCTAGTAAACCAAAAATGTTCTGTTATACCTCTAACTCAACCATGAGTCAGAATAATCTTAACGCAGTGCACTAACTCCGTAGCACCGGCGAGGATCCTAAAATACTTTGGGTAGATTTTTAACACCAATTTTTGCCCGGGCAGCGCCGTTAGGCTACTTTTTTTTCGATTTCCCAAACTGACAAGGGGTTTAATTTATTACGCGCGCAACAATATACACGGGCGTCCGATCTTACTACCCAGAGACCAGGGAAAACTTCTAAAAGTCCACATGAAAAAATGCATAGCTTTCCCCGGGGCCTGAACCAGGGACCTCTAGCACTCGAGGCGGAAGCCATGCCTCGAGACCACGCAGCTCCCCCTATTCTGTCTGTCTGTTGATCATCAGTCTATCTCTGTGCATTTCAGTTGAATTATATGTTTGCCTGACTGTTTGTCTGCCTGTTTTGCACCACCAGTCCTGTGTTGGTTTCTAATTCTTCTTTGGCACCCTTCATAGCGCTCTTGTCTGGCCGCAACCCTTTTAACTGACTGACTGACTTTCTACCCCACCAGGATATCACACAAGCGATAAACACCCGATGACAGAAAGTGCCACCATGTGGGTGAGGATCACCGTGGAGAGGTCCCAGAAACCGCTTTCAGCCATTAGACCATATTTATGGCCGGGCTATATTGCGGCCCCTGGAAAGAGCCAGAGTAGGGCTTCGAATAACGACAAATTGCATCCTGAAAAGGACGGCAAGATAATTACCCTTCTAACTTGCTGCTCTTGAAGTCTGTTCTAGGTTGCAGATTCACACACAATTGGTTCTCAAAAACTCTCACTTCTCGTGTAGTGCATTCAGTATATCATAAAGCATTTACTATATCATGGAGCATTTATTATATCATACAGTGTTCATTATATCATACAGCATTTATTATATCATAGAGCATTCATATATCATAAAGCAATTATTATATCATAGATCATTTATATCATAGAGCATTTATTATATCATAGAGCATTCAGTATATCATAAAACATTTATTTAATAGAGCATTTATTATATCATAGAGCATTAATATATCATAAAACAATTATTATATCATTGAGCATTTATTATATCATAGAGCATTCATTATATCATAGAGCATTCATTATATCATAAAGCAATTATTACATCATAGAGCATTCATTACACCATAGAGCATTTATTATATCATAGCGCATACTTATATCATAACGCAATTATTATATCATAGAGCATTTACTATATCATGGAGCACTCATATATCATAAAGCAATTATTATATCATTGATCATTTATATCATAGAGCATTTATTATATCATAGAGCATTCAGTATATCATAAAACATTTATTTATTAGAGCATTCATTATATCATAGAGCATTCATTATTTCATAGAGCATTTATTATATCATAGCGCATACTTATATCATAAAGCAATTATTATATCATAGATAATTTATATCATAGAGCATTTATAATATCATTGAGCATTTATTATATCAAAGAGCATTCATTATATCATAGGGCATTTATTATATCATAGAGCATTCATATATCATAAAGCAATTATTATATCATTGAGCATTTATTATAGCATAGAGCATTCATTATATCATAGAGCATTAATTATATCAAAGGGCATTCATTATATCATAGAGCATTCATTATATCATATAGCATTTATTAAATCATAGAGCATTCATTATATCATACAGCATTCATTACATCATAAAGCAATTATTATACCATAGAGAATTTAATAGATCATAGGGCATTCATTATATCATACAGCATTTATTATATCATAGAGCATTTATTATATCATAGAGCATTCATTATATCATAAAGCAATTATTATATCATAGATCATTTATATCATAGAGCATTTATTAAATCATAGAGCATTCAGTATATCATAAAACATTTATTTAATAGAGCATTTATTATATCATAGAGCATTCATATATCATAAAGCAATTATTATATCATTGAGCATTTATTATATCATAGAGCATCCATTATATCATAAGGCAATTATTATTTCAAAGAGCATTCATTATATCATTGAGCATTTATTATATCATAGCGCATACTTATATCATAACGCAGTTATTATATCATAGAGCATTTACTATATCATGGAGCATTTATATATCATAAAGCAATTATTATATCATTGATCATTTATATCATAGAGCATTTATTATATCATAGAGCATTTACTATATCATGGAGCATTCATATATCATAAAGCAATTATTATATCATAGAGCATTTATTATATCATTGAGCATTTATTATATCATAGAGCATTCATTATATCATAGGGCATTTATTATATCATAGAGCATTCATATATCATAAAGCAATTATTATATCATTGAGCATTTATTATAGCATAGAGCATTCATTATATCATAGAGCATTCATTATATCAAAGGACATTCATTATATCATAGAGCATTCATTATATCATATAGCATTTATTATATCATAGAGCATTCATTATAACATACAGCATTCATTATATCATAAAGCAATTATTATACCAAAGAGTATTTAATAGATCATAGGGCATTCATTATATCATACAGCATTTATTATATCATAGAGCATTTATTATATCATAGAGCATTCATTATATGATAAAGCCATTATTATATCATAGAGCATTCAGTATATCATAGAGCATTCAGTATATCACAGAGCATTCAGTATATCATAGAGCATTCAGTATAGCATAGATCATTCAGTATATCATAGATCATTCAGTATATCACAGAGCGTTCAGTATATCACAAAACATTCATTATATCACAGAGCATTCAGTTTATCATAGAGCATTCAGTATATCATAGAGCATTCTGTATCATAGATCATTCAGTATGTCACAGAGGATTCAGTATATCATAGATCATTTTGTATATCACAGAGCGTTCAGTATATCATAGATCATTCAGTATATCATAGATCATTCAGTATATCATAGATCATTCAGTATATCATAGATCATTCATTATATCACAGAGCATTCAGTTTATCATAGAGCATTTAGTATATCATAGATCATTCAGTATATCATAGATCATTCAGTTTATCATAGATCATTCAGTATATCATAGAGCATTCAGTATATCATAGATCATTCAGTATATCACAGATCATTCAGTTTATCATAGATCATTCAGTATATCATAGATCATTCAGTTTATCACAGATCATTCAGTATATCATAGATCATACAGTTTATCATAGAGCATTCAGTATATCATAGATCATTCAGTATATCATAGATCATTCAGTATATCATAGATCATTCAGTATATCATAGATCATTCAGTATATCATAGATCATTCAGTATATCACAGAGCATTCAGTATATCATAGATCATTCAGTATACCACAAAGCATTCAATATATCATAGATCATTCAGTATATCACAGAGCATTCAGTATATCATAGATCATTCAGTATATCATAGATCATTTAGTATATCATAGATCATTCAGTATATCAGATTAGTTCATGGCTCGTCCGTCGTCCACATAAACCTTACCGGCAAGTCTATCCGCTTACTCGTTTCCTTGCACGCCTGTGTGCCTGGCACGAATATGAACTTATACTTGGTAACCCCCTACCGCCTCAAAGATTCCAACCGCTGTCTTCGAGCCCGTCGCAGCACGCCATGCCCTGCCCTAAATCTCCAGGACACGTTAAACCAGAATTATGGATTTATTCTGACCCTCCAGCGCATACCAGAACAAAAGGCCTCTTGTGGTAGCCCGCATAATGGCTGCACCAGGTGTACACCAACCATGATAGATCCCCGCCTTTGATATGTAATCCGCTTATCGCCGGGGTCATTGAATCTAGAATAATCTGCGGTTTTCTGTTTCCGTCCGCGACTAAATAAGTTTCAAGAAAGGGTATTGGTCAACACTCATAGACTCAGGTGGCAGGAGTAAGATAAGTGAATTCACACCAGAATAAAATCCCTCAAAGTAACGAGTTGGAATAATGGCCAAATTAACGCATGTTTCTAGACAGGTGGTAAGATAGTACGAAGGAACGAATTTTATTTTCGTAGTAGTTATAAAGTAAATTGGAGTTTAAAAGCAACAGTAGGGCTATTAAAAAAAAAAAAAAAATACAGAATTTGAGAACAGATGTCTTAGAAGAATACTACAGCTCCACTGGACAGATTTGAGATTGCCGTCTGTCGGCAGTTGAAGTAATTTCTGTAGAAAGCAAAATCTTGATCAGCATTCTCGGTATATAGAGTCTGTTTTATTTCATCTACACACGCGGGCGCGCGAGCAGGCACGCTTGCACACCCGCGCCTATTTATTTATGTAGAGTTAATTCATAGTTCCCACTTGGTTCCATATGGTAATTTCTTCTTTCACCATCTTCCTCTTCTCCTCTTCTTGTTATTTCATCTTATTCCCTCCCTTCTTCATTATCTTTTTCTTCCGCTACCTTAGTCCTCCTTTCTTCTCCCCCTCCTTCCTCTCATCTTCGTCTTCCTCTTGTATGCTTCTTCCTTCTCTCCTCCTTTCCCCACCTTCGTTTCTGTCATTACTTTTCTTCCTCTTCTTCTTTTTCTTCTTCTTCTTCTGTTTCTTCTTCTTCTTCTTCTTCTTCTTCTTCTTCTTCTTCTTCTTCTTCTTCTTCTTCTTCTTCTTCTTCTTCTTCTTCTTCTTCTTCTTCTTCTTCTTCTTCTTCTTCTTCTTCTTCTTCTTCTTCTTCTTCTTCTTCTTCTTCTCCTTCTTCTTCTTCTTCTTCTTCTTCTTCTTCTTCCTCTTCTTCTTCCTCTGCTTCTTCTTCTTCTTCTCTTTCTTTAATAATAATTAATTGTTATGATGTTATTATTGTATCATATTTTTTTTTTATTGTCTGTTAGAACAGTCTGACGTAATAAAGATGAATTGTTTTCAATTGGAATAACAAATCTTAACTTAGACTAATTATGTGTGTGTTCAGGATCTGGCAAGTCTTCTCAAAGCACTGTACGATGCCGTTGGGTCGTCTATCAAACTCCCACCCAACGGTGCCAAAACTTTGAAACTCCGCTTGACCGTTGGTCAAGAGACCATGTCCCATGTACAAAATCCCAACATCAAGTCGGCAGAACACAGCAGAGCTACCAATAAAACACCCAGACACAAGGAGCGCGAGTTTTCCAAGATGAACAATCTCACACGAGGTCACGTCAAGCGAAATAACGAATGCCAAGGTCAGCGGGTTCTCAGTCAAACCACGCCAACCACAAACCAGGCAACCATGAACCAGGCAACAACGGCAACCATGAACCAGGCAACCACGGCAAACATGAACCAGGCAACAACGGCAACCATGAATCAGGCAGCCACGGCAACCATGAACCAGGCAACAACGGCAACCATGAACCAGGCAACAACGGCGACCATGAATCAGGCAGCCACGGCAAACATAAACCAGGCAGGAAAGAAGGAGGTCAGTACTAAACCGGGAGTGATGAATCATCAACCTGAAAAAGAACATCAGCGACTTATCGACACTGTTCAGGAGAATCTGGCCCCGAACCAAGGGCGACAATTCAGGCAAGTCTTACCTTAGATAAAAGGGAATCAGCCTCCTGTTTTTTTTATGGGGGATAATTCAGGTAGCATTCTTCTTCTTCTTACTGTTGTTCTTCTTTTTGTGCTCTTCTTCTTGTTCTTATTGTTCTTCTTCTTGTTCTTGTTCTTTTTCTTATTGTTGTTGTTCTTCTTCTTTTTCTTCTTCTTTTTCTTGTTCTTCTTGTTATTGTTGTTGTTGTTGTTGTTGTTCTTCTTCTTCTTCTTCTTCTTCTTCTTCTTCTTCTTCTTCTTCTTCTTCTTCTTCTTCTTCTTCTTCTTCTTCTTTCTTCTTCTTCTTCTTCTTCTTCTTCTTCTTTTTATTATTATTATTATTATTATTATTATTATCTTTCGCTTCCTCCGCATATTTTTCTACTTCGTCTTCACCATATCAACCCCTGCCAGCCTCTTCTTCCTCTTCCTACTATTCCTTGCTCTTCCTACTATTCCTTCCTCTTTCTACTATTCCTTGCTCTTCCTACTATTCCTTGCTCTTCCAACTATTCCTTCCTCTTCCTACTTTCCTTGCTCTTCCTACTATTCCTTCCTCTTCCTACTATTCCTTTCTCTTCCTACTATTCCTTGCTTTTCCTACTATTCCTTCCTCTTCCTACTATTCCTTCCTCTTCCTACTATTCCTTGCTCTTCCTACTATTCCTTGCTCTTCCTACTATTTCTTGCTCTTCCTACTATTCCTTCCTCTTCCTACTATTCCTTGCTCTTCCTACTATTCCTTCCTCTTCCTACTATTCCTTTCTCTTCCTACTATTCCTTGCTTTTCCTACTATTCCTTCCTCTTCCTACTATTCCTTCCTCTTCCTACTATTCCTTCGTCTTCCTACTATTCCTTGCTCTTCATACTATTCCTTCCTCTTCCTACTATTCCTTTCTCTTCCTACTATTCCTTGCTTTTCCTACTATTCCTTCCTCTTCCTACTATTCCTTGCTCTTCCTACTATTCCTTCCTCTTCCTACTATTCCTTGCTCTTCCTACTATTCCTTCCTCTTCCTACTATTCCTTGCTCTTCCTACTATTCCTTGCTTTTCCTACTATTCCTTCCTCTTCCTACTATTCCTTCCTGTTCCTACTATTCCTTGCTTTTCCTACTATTCCTTCCTCTTCTTACTATTCCTTGCTCTTCCTACTATTCCTTCCTCTTCCTACTATTCCTTGCTCTTCCTACTATTCCTTCCTCTTCCTACTATTCCTTGCTCTTCCTACTATTCCTTGCTTTTCCTACTATTCCTTCCTCTTCCTACTATTCCTTCCTGTTCCTACTATTCCTTGCTCTTCCTACTATTCCTTCCTCTTCCTACTATTCCTTGCTCTTCCTACTATTCCTTGCTCTTCCTACTATTCCTTCCTGTTCCTACTATTCCTTGCTCTTCCTACTATTCCTTGCTCTTCCTATTATTCCTTGCTCTTCCTACTATTCCTTGCTCTTCCTACTATTCCTTGCTCTTCCTACTATTCCTTGCTCTTCCTACTATTCCTTGCTCTTCCTACTATTCCTTCCTCTTCCTACTATTCCTTCCTCTTCCTACTATTCCTTGCTTTTCCTACTATTCCTTCCTCTTCCTACTATTCCTTCCTCTTCCTACTATTCCTTGCTTTTCCTACTATTCCTTGCTCTTCCTACTATTCCTTCCTCTTCCTACTATTCCTTCCTCTTCCTACTATTCCTTGCTTTTCCTACTATTCCTTCCTCTTCCTACTATTCCTTCCTGTTCCTACTATTCCTTGCTCTTCCTACTATTCCTTCCTCTTCCTACTATTCCTTGCTCTTCCTACTATTCCTTCCTCTTCCTACTATTCCTTCCTCTTCCTACTATTCCTTCCTCTTCCTACTATTCCTTGCTCTTCCTACTATTCCTTCCTCTTCCTACTATTCCTTCCTCTTCCTACTATTCCTTCCTGTTCCTACTATTTCTTCCTCTTCCTACTATTCCTTGCTCTTCCTACTATTCCTTCCTTTTCCTACTATTCCTTCGTCTTCCTAATTTTCCTTCCCCTTGCTACTATTCCTTCCTCGTCCACCTTCTCGTTCGCATCCTCCTCTTCTTTTTCCGTCGTTATCCCCCTACTCCTCGCTCCATCCTCCTCCTGCTTCTACTGCTTCCTCCACTTACTAGAAGACTTCTGTACACAGATTGATATCTAGAATAATGGGCGGCAAAACATGACTTCCTCCTGTGGTTTCTATCTATTTCCGGTTGGTACGTTGAGGTCAAAGGTTAAAGCACACAAAGGGTACGATCCGTCATCAATTTATGTTGTCGATGGCCTCCTGCTTTCTGTCACCACCAGGTGAACGATGGACTGTGGTTGTTCCCGCAACATCTTCTGGTCTGATTACCCGGCCTCTCCCGCAGCATCTTCTGATCTGATCACCCGGCCTCTCCCGCAGCATCTTCTGATCTGATTACCTGGCCTCTCCCGCAGCATCTTCTGATCTGATTACCCGGCCTCTCCCGCAGCATCTTCTGATCTGATCACCCGGCCTCTCCCGCAGCATCTTCTGATCTGACTACCCGGCCTCTCCCGCAGCATCTTCTGATCTGATTACCCGGCCTCTCCCGCAGCATCTTCTGATCTGATCACCCGGCCTCTCCCGCAGCATCTTCTGATCTGATTACCCGGCCTCTCCCGCAGCATCTTCTGATCTGACTACCCGGCCTCTCCCATAGCATCTTCTGATCTAATTACCCGGCCTCTCCCGCAGCATCTACTGATCTGATTACCCGGCCTCTCCCGCAGCATCTTCTGATCTGATTACCCGGCCTCTCCCGGTGGCAGAATTCCTCAGCGTGAGGTCGACTACATTTGAAGCTGGCCAGACCGAGCGTGCTCAGGGTTATCTAGGGGGCCACTGTTGTCTGTGCCACTCGGCATGGGTGTAGGAACCTGGAGACCCTGAGTTAGATCCTCTCAACACTTTTTAAGGGGAGGGGGTTGAACCCCTTTAATATTTGCAAAAGGGCGTTTCCTTGATAAGTGAAACTTTCCACTTTTGAGCTAAGTTGAGTTGATTCAACAGCTGACATTACAGCACCCAGCGCTTTTCCATAAGCGCTCCGTCCCCGTCTTCAGCAGCCAGTGCAGAATTCCAATGCCTGTAGCTATCTGATTATATGTCCGTCTTGCCTTTCCTCTGAGTGTCGAGTATTGGCTAGATCCGCTGGTCACATCGATTTTCTGTTACGAGCTCCCAAAGACCGCCTTCGTCTTATATTACATCAACATTTCACCAAGTTGTGCAGTCAGCCAATCTGTCCGCCTGTTTATTTTCCAGCACACGGCATGCCCCGGAGACAAAATCCGGACAATACTATTCGTCTCAGAACTTCCAAGCGAAGCATGCAACTCTGCACGAAGCATGATTTCTGAGTCAGTTACAATCACGATATGTGAGTGTATTGTGTTCTGTAACCAGCGAAAGGCTGTAGTGACCGCCTTTACCTCCATTCTTAAGCTCGGTGTCGTCGTATCAAATGCTAGGATCCCCTACACCAAACGTTGACCATAAACTTTTGCTAAGAACCCTTCAGGCAATCATTCTACCTCTTGCTTCTTCTTCATACCAATTACCGGCTATAAACTCTGGCGTAAAGTTATGGTTGTTCGTCCACTTCTGGACTTCAGTTTTCTTCTTTCAGAACTTGATTTTTACGTGCACATCCGTTTTACAGATCTGGCCTACTTGTGTGCAAACTGCCGGTGTCTCGTGGCTGAGGCAAATACGCTTTGATTTTATAGGAAACATCCCTAATTAGTCGCCTTTTAGGACATGCTTGTTAAGGCGCAGTAGTTTTACTCTTCCCCACCCCTTTCCCCAAAATAAGGCCCGGATCCCACAGGAAAAAATTGTCAAGTAAAAGTAAAGGTCCCATTTCTACGCCTTTAGGCGTATGGGCATGTAGGGCTAGACCTATATTCTACACACCGAATGGCACCTGGTGGGTGATGTGGTCAACACAAGGCGGGTAGCTTTTACATTCCAGGTCGTGACTGGACCTTTTGTAGGTCTGGTCATCGTGAAAGCTAACGTCTTTTTCGAATTTCCCCCCCCCCCCCCATAAAAAACCCCCACAAAAACATTTTTCGTATGTGCTTTTCTGAGCTCTATTATAAGGACAAAAGGAGTAGACCACCAAAAGCATGTCGTAAGAGTCGACTAATTGGGAGCTTTCTTCGAAGTCAGAGTGCATCTGCCTGAGAGGCAAGGAACCAGCAGTCTGCATACAAGTAAGTTAGATCTGTATAACTGATGTACATGCAACACTCAGGTTCTGGAACCGGGCTAGAGTCCAGAAGTGGACGAACAACCAGAACTTTCTGCCTGAGTTTACAGCTACTGAACGCGTAGACAAAGGAGGAGGAGAAGAAGAAGAAGAAGAAGAAGAAGAAGAAGAAGAAGAAGAAGAAGAAGAAGAAGAAGAAGAAGAAGAAGAAGAAGAAGAAGAAGAAGAAGAAGAAGAAGAAGAAGAAGAAGAAGAAGAAAAAGAAGAAGAAGAAGAAGAAGAAAAAGAAGAAGAAAAAGGAGAAGAAGAAATAATAATAATAATTTTTATTTTTATTTGACCATTTCAATGTAAACTTTTTTCTCCTTTCTAGGAAACACCAAAATGAAACTCGCAATCTTGTCCACAACCGCCACAAGCGACCGCATCGGGCCTCAGGACTTCACTGCCCTACAACCTCTGCCCTCCACTGCCCTACAACCTCTGCTCCCACTGAGCAGACAACGTCTTCACCCACCGGTACCAGAAAACATTTGGCAGAAACCACGATAAACAACGCGCCAAAAGAAAGTAAGGATCGCAGAGATTACTATCTGGATCTAGCTGGGGTGGAATGTAACAGTTCCAAGGTTCTCAACAACGTATGCTTACCCAGTTGTGGTCGAATGCTCGGCAAAAATAAACACAGATCAGACGATGTCTCCTTTGGAGCTACAAATGAGATATTTCCTGGTCATGATAAGTGTGACGTGACCTCGCATTTGTCGCAAGAACAGTCCGCTGTGTCGTTTCTTTTCCCGCAACTCAGTTGTGATATTCCTTCTTGCTCGTTGCAAGAAAAATGTATTTCTTCCCGCCTGACCCATGAAAAGTGCGTCGTCACTTCCTGTTTAACACACGAAAAACGTGATATTTGCGGTCGTTTAAACCGAGAAAAATGCAGTATTTCTTCCCGTTTATCGCAGGAAAAAGGTGATATTTCTTCCCGTTTAACGCAGGAAAAAGGTGATATTTCTTCTCCTTTAAACCAGGAAAAGTGTAGTGTAACTTCCCGTTTAGCGCAGGAAGAGAGTGATGTTTTATCACCTTTAAGGAGGGAAAAGTGTGACGTTTTTTCACTTCTGGCACAAGAAAAGTGTAGTATTTCCTCACGTTTGTCTCAGGGAAAATGTGGCATTTCTTTAAGTACTCTGCATGAAAAATGTGATCCGTCATTTCAAATAGCTGATGAAAAGTGTGATACAGCTTCATGTAAGCTAAAGGAAAATGGCGATATTTTTTCACGTCTTGCTCATGAAAAATGTGATATTTCATCACGTCCTTTTAAGGGAAAAGGTGATATTTACCCACGTCTGCTCCAGGAAAAAAGTGACATTTCTTCACGTCTTACCCAGATAAAAGGTGATATTTGTTCACGTATTTCCCAGGAAAAAGGTGATAGTTTTTCACGTCCTTCCCAGGGAAAACGTGACGAAGCTCTACGTCTGACGCCGGCAACATGTGATACTTCTTCGCGCTTTCTGCGTGACAAATGTAATGTAGATTCACGATCACAGGACAAGTCCACTCCTCCTTCACGCCTCCAACAGACAATCAATGATTATCCATCTCAATTACCACTAGGAAAATATGATAATTTGGTAAGACAAGAAGGTGAACTGGGAGCCAGTAAAAAATCTCAGGGACTTCCCAGTAAACTTAATTTAAGGTCAAAATCCTTAGATGTCCCAGAAATTCCCAAATCAACGAAACCTACAAAGTCCAAAAAACCGAAAGGTTGGTTGAACTTCAGTGGCGGCCGTTTCCGGCCTGTCAGCTTGCCAGGCCAGGAGTCCATAACCGTGTTGCCTGATTGTCATCGACGACAGCGCCATCGTGAGAAGGACCGTGATGTGATGATGCAGCAGGTGGCCGAGTGGATAGAGCGGGAGCATGTGGACAGTGTTGTGGTTCAGAGACATGAGCACCATCATATACATGAGCATCATCATCATCACCACTTCCATCACCACCATGAGACATGAGAGGTTGTCATCGTGACTTGATGTTGTCATTGAGTCATGAGAGGTTGTCATCGAGACATGAGAGGTTGTCATCGAGACATGAGAGGCTGTCATCGAGAGATGAGAGGTTGTCATCGAGAGATGAGAGGTTGTCATCGAGACATGAGAGGTTGTCATCGAGAGATGAGAGGTTGTCATCGAGACATGAGAGGTTGTCATCAAGAGATGAGAGGTTGTCATCGAGAGATGAGAGGTTGTCATCGAGACATGAGAGGTTGTCATCGAGAGATGAGAGGTTGTCATCGAGACATGAGAGGTTGTCATCAAGAGATGAGAGGTTGTCATCGAGACATGAGAGGTTGTCATCGAGACATGAGAGGTTGTCATCGAGAGATGAGAGTTTGTCATCGAGACATGAGAGGTTGTCATCGAGAGATGAGAGGTTGTCATCGAGACATGAGAGGTTGTCATCGAGACATGAGAGGTTGTCATCGAGACATGAGAGGTTGTCATCGAGACATGAGAGGTTGTCATCGAGACATGAGAGGTTGTCATCGAGACATGAGAGGTTGTCATCGAGACATGAGAGGTTGTCATCGAGACATGAGAGGTTGTCATCGAGACATGAGAGGTTGTCATCGAGAGAGGTTGTCATCGAGACATGAGAGGTTGTCATCAAGAGAGGTTGTCATCGAGACATGAGAGGTTGTCATCGAGACATGAGAAGTTGTCATCGAGACATGAGAGGTTGTCATCGAGACATGAGAGGTTGTCATCGAGAGAGGTTGTCATCGAGACATGAGAGGTTGTCATCAAGAAAGGTTGTCATCGAGACATGAGAGGTTGTCATCGAGACATGAGAGGTTGTCATCGAGACATGAGAGGTTGTCATCAAGAGATGAGAGGTTGTCATCGAGAGATGAGAGGTTGTCATCGAGAAATGAGAGGTTGTCATCGAGAGATGAGAGGTTGTCATCGAGAGATGAGAGGTTGTCATCGAGACATGAGAGGTTGTCATCGAGAGATGAGAGGTTGTCATCGAGAGATGAGAGGTTGTCATCGAGAGATGAGAGGTTGTCATCGAGAGATAAGAGGTTGTCATCGAGAGATGAGAAGTTGTCATCGAGACATTTGAGGTTGTCATCAAGGTTTATCTTCATTCTTCGACATTGAAACTTGCATCCTACTTGTAGAGTAGCTAGCATTACTTGATAAGGCCAAGATCAGGGACCTGTCGTGGATTTTCAGTCGAGGATATTCAGTTGTGTGTGCTATTAAGCAGGCTAATAGATTAGCTGCTGCCCCTCCTCTTTGTGGTAAACTACTTTATAATAAAGCGGACATGATAAAGGCTCTGGAATCAAATAGACTGTGCAATAAAACAGAGAATTGAGACGTTGAAAGCTAATTCAGTGGCGGTGGTGGTGTTGGTGAGGGGAAAAAAAGGGGGAGTTGCTATTCTTGAAGATATTCAACACTGAGGGAGATATAGACTTTTAACCAGGTTGTAACTGGTACTTTAAGCATGTCGACTCTTTCGTTGGCTGCTGAAGAAGGGGACTGATCACGTTTAGGAATCTCCCGAGTTAGTTCTTCATTCATTCATTATCTACCTCAGCAGGTGACGTGTGAGAACAATCACTTGTGTGTAATTTATTGACAGACTCACAGACAGACTTCAGGGATGTTTCCTCCAGTGATGTTTCTCCAATGATGTTTCCCTAGAAGTTGCCCTGAGATTCCGAACCAAGGGAAGGAATTTCTGATCTCTGATATCCAACGGCGGTTCTCATATTATCTTTGCTACGGGCATGGTTGTGACTCTGAGAATCTCAGTGGAAATAATGGTGGGGCGTGTAATAAAGATCACACTGACTCTGTGGCTTCTTCTTGTTAGCCTTGTCCTTGTGGCATTCGTAGTCAGGTTTGTCCACAACCTTCTGTTTCAAGCACTGTCAATTGTAAGGTCCATGTTTGTGGCGTTGGTAGTCATATCTGTCCGTACCCTTCTAACTCGTGTACTGTCAGTCTTAAAGTTCGTCTTGCATTGTGTTTGTAATCATAACTCTCCACAACCTTGTGTCGTGTGTAGATTATCTTCTCCCAGCGCAAGCAATCGGGGCTCTTTGTGCGTTGATCTCTTTAAAGACATCTTCATGTTATCATGGGAAGACAAAAGAAGACACAGGAAAAGCTACTCACGGGAAGACAACAAAAATTAAAGAGAAGATCATGCAAGTTAAAGGAAGGTTGAGCTGCATCGAGCTATGAACCGACGTCACATCAGTCAGGACACTCCTAAATTAGCTTCGTACTCATCTTCAGCAGCCATTGTAGAGTTCCCATATCTACGGTGCTAGTGCGTCCAAGAAAGTTCAGATCAACCAATAAAAGACAACAGAAGACAAATGGAAGGAAGCACAAGACACAGGTGGACAACAGTAGACAAAAAGAAGGGAGCACAAGGCGCAGGTAGACAACACAAGACGTGGGAAGGCAAATAAAGAGACTACAAAACACAGAAAGACAACATAAGATAAAACAAAATAGGCAAGACAAAACAATACACTTCGATGACCTGAGGATGTAGAGCATAACAGAGAGCCAAAAACTGTAGAAAAAGGGTAAAATGAGAGTAGACCACGAGACCGACCAAGAGGACAGCTGAAAGACAACATACAGGCAGAGACAACTGAGAGACAACATACAGGCAGAGACGGCTGAGAGACAACATACAGGCAGAGACGGCTGAGAGACAACATACAGGCAGAGACGGCTGAGAGACAACATACAGGCAGAGACGGCTGAGAGACAACATACAGGCAGAGACAACTGAGAGACAACATACAGGCAGAGACGGCTGGGAGACAACATACAGGCAGAGACGGCTGAGAGACAACATACAGGCAGAGACGGCTGGGAGACAACATACAGGCAGAGACGGCTGAGAGACAACATACAGGCAGAGACGGCTGAGAGACAACATACAGGCAGAGACGGCTGAGAGACAACATACAGGCAGAGACGGCTGAGAGACAACATACAGGCAGAGACGGCTGAGAGACAACATACAGGCAGAGAGGGCTGAGAGACAACATACAGGCAGAGACGGCTGAGAGACAACATACAGGCAGAGATGGCTTAGAGACAACATACAGGCAGAGAGGGCTGAGAGACAACATACAGGCAGAGAGGGCTGAGAGACAACATACAGGCAGAGAGGGCTGAGAGACAACATACAGGCAGACAGCAGAGACTGAGGCATACAGGCAGAGACGGCTGAGAGACAACATACAGGCAGAGACGGCTGAGAGGACAAACATACAGGCAGAGACGAGAGACAAACATACAGGCTGAGAGACAACATACAGGCAGAGACGGCTGAGAGACAACATACAGGCTGAGAGACAACTACAGCAGAGAGAGACAACATACAGGCAGAGACGGCTGAGAGACAACATACAGGCAGAGACGGCTGAGAGACAACATACATACAGGCAGAGAGGGCTGAGAGACAACATACAGGCAGAGAGGGCTGAGAGACAACATACAGGCAGAGACGGCTGAGAGACAACATACAGGCAGAGACGGCTGAGAGACAACATACAGCAGAGAGGGCTGAGAGACACAAAACATACAGGCAGAGACGGCTGACGAGAGACAACATACAGGCAGAGACGGCTGGGAGACAACATACAGGCAGAGACGGCTGGGAGACAACATACAGGCAGAGACGGCTGGGAGACAACATACAGGCAGAGACGGCTGAGAGACAACATACAGGCAGAGACGGCTGGGAGACAACACACAGGCAGAGACGGCTGGGAGACAACATACAGGCAGAGACGGCTGAGAGACAACATACAGGCAGAGACGGCTGAGAGACAACATACAGGCAGAGACGGCTGAGAGACAACATACAGGCAGAGACGGCTGAGAGACAACATACAGGCAGAGACGGCTGGGAGACAACATACAGGCAGAGACGGCTGAGAGACAACATACAGGCAGAGACGGCTGGGAGACAACACACAGGCAGAGATGGCTGGGAGACAACACACAGGCAGACCTGAGAACACTTGGAGTCACCAACTGGGAAGAAATGTCACTCACAAAGATACACTGAGGCGGCTGATATCTGCAGCAGTGAACATCAAGGGTTAATGATACTCAAGAAAGAGAAGAAGAAGAAGAAGAAGAAGAAGAAGAAGAAGAAGAAGAAGAGAAAGAAGATGATGGTGGTGATGATGATGATGATGATTACATAAGAAGACATACGATAAGACACAAGACAACAATGGGAAAACAAATGAATTGATCACTAATCCCATGTTTAGATGTAGACAACTTTATTAAGAATGCTGACAATGAGATCATGATAACCGTAAAAACAAGAAACGGGTAAAGAAAAAATGTCTATGAAATTCCCTAATGGCGGAGTAATTAAAGCACTTGTTTACCAACACAAGCTTCTGGTTAAGTTGTCAGGATATAACCAATTTTGTTTCTATACCGTTGTTGAAGGCGATCCAGTTTTCTGACCCTCGTTCTTGACCTGATCCTGCAGTATCCTCACCGTGGTCAAATCCGCACATGCATGACCTGAAAAGCTGTAGTAGCACGGACAAAAAGTAATAATCTGAGAGAGGGGGGGGGGGGGGGGACTAACAAAATATTCACTGTGTTATCACGATTACATGACCTAGAAGTGAAGTCTGGTAACGCACGCCCATGCAATCTTTAAGATCAAGATAGGAGATGTTATAACTATCTTATCATGAGTTAACCAAACTGGGCACGCATGTGCTGGGATGTTAATTCTAATAAAACAACCCAAAGGGCCCACTTTCACACCTTCAGGCATATTGGGCACAATACTACTAGACCTATCTTTTATATACAAATTGACACTTGGTGTGTCTTCTTCTGCCTTTCTATCCTCCAATGGAGCATAGGCCCTCAACAAACTCACGCCAAGTCGTTCTATCCTTCGCCATTACATGAAGCTCTTCTCATATCCTCCCAATCTTTCTAACCTCATTCTCCAGCTCTCTTCTCCATGTGTTTTTTGGCCTTCCTTTATTCTTATGCCCCTGTGGGTTCCAATGCAGAGACATTCTAGTTATGCTGTTCTCCTGTTTTCTCAGTGACTTTGTGTGGGATGTTGTCAAAATCCCACCAGCCGCCTTTACTTCCCAGGACTTTACCTTATACCCATTTAAAGCTGGGAAGACCTGGGAACCAATGTCATTTTCGGAAGGAAAGATCCGGCTCTGCTCGGATCTAAACACACCACTTTCGGATTAACAGGCCAGCATCTAGCCGGTACACCACGGCGATTCATGAAAAACATAATATGCGTAATGTTTAATACAGAAGACACACAGCAGACACAGAAAGGCACGAAACCGTGCATACATCAGCAGTCACACCCGCCATACTCTTTATACAATAGCACATGGCTTTAGGGACAGAGACAGAGTTGTGATTTCTCTTGGAGATTCTTCTGCTAAGTGATTGTGTATAATTCTTGTTCATACTTGTGGTATTGTTGATTTATCTAATGTGCTGATAAAGGCTGTGTAGCCTCTAGCCGTCACTTGTTGCGTGTGATCACGAGAAGCTAAATGGTTGTACTTTTCGTTTGCTTTGGTATTTGTTGTGTTTGGTAACGAGAAGCTAAAGGGTTGTACTTTTCGTTTGCTTGATATCTTTTCATGATGTTTCTCCACACGACGTTTTCAGCTGGGATATGAGAAAAAGCACATTTAGACAATGACATGAAAATCGCAGGGTTGACATACAGTTTTCTGCAGCTGCTGATGATGATGATGACGAGGAGCTGCTGCTGTTGATGATGATGACGATGATAGGGATAGTGCTGGGGGTGGTAGTAGTGGCGACGATATGGTGGATTCAGGTCCTGGAGAGGACAGCGTCGGTGTGGTTGTCCATCCTTGTGAAGACAGTGGGGAGGCTGCCGCACGAGTACTCAGCGACCAGGCCAATCAGAGCGTACCTGTTGTTGATGTCGAGGCACGCCAGCATACCGCCGTCATCGAACTGTCGACATTATTGTTGTTGTTATTATTATTATCATCACAATTATTTTAATTGCTTTTCTCACCATCATAGCTGTCGTCGTTTATTAATACTTTTTCATTACTACTAATACTATACTTTTGTTATTACATTGTCAGTTATTACTATTGTGTTTGCAACAACAACTACTACAATTACTATTATTGAAATCCTACTTATACAGCTAATACTAATTCTAATTTATCTTCTTCAGTCCTTTGTCTCCCAGTAGAGCATAGGCCCTCAACCAACTCAAGCGAACTCGTCCAATCCTTCGCTATCGCATGTCCCCCTTGTACCTCATGTACCTCATTTCCCCCATTTCTCCATGTCTCCTATGTCCCTCATACCCCTCATGCCCCCATATCACCCATGTCCCTCATGTCCCCCATTTCCCTCATGTCTCTATGTCAGCATGTTCCCCATGTCCCCCATGTCCCTCATGTCCCATATGTCCCCCATTTCCCTCATGTCTCTATGTCAGCATGTTCCCCATGTCCCCCATGTCCCTCATGTCTCTATGTCAGCATGTTCCCCATGTCCCCCATGTCCCTCATGTCCCATATGTCCCCCATTTCCCTCATGTCTCTATGTCAGCATGTTCCCCATGTCCCCCATGTCCCATATGTCCCCCATTTCCCTCATGTCTCTATGTCCCCATGTTCCCCATGTGGCCCATGTCTCCATGTACCTCATGCCCCCATGTCTCCCATCCCCCATGTCCCTCACGTTCCCCATATCCCTCATTTCCCTCATGCCACCATGTCCCCCATGCCACCATGTCCCCATGTCTCCCATGTCCCCCATGTCTCCCATCCCCCATGTCCCCCACGCCCCCATGTCCTCCATGTCCCCCATATCCCCATGCCCCCCATGTCCCCTATCCTCCATGTCTCCCATGCCCCCATGTCTCCTATAGGAGGGAGGAGACGCGCGCTTACCAGGTTTTTGTGTTTTAAATCCAGAAACCACGAGCTGTAAACCCTTTGGCTCGGTACCATGGATATCGCAACCCCTCGGCCTTGATTCCATGATAGGTAACGTAGATCTAAGAAATGTATGGTTTTTCTGCTTACCACCTAGTGTCAACTCGGACCACAAGGAGTTTGTCACTCTGTCGCAGCGCAGCTGGTTTAACCAACTTAGCTAGCGCGCCGGGTAAATATGGAAGTTATCTTTTCAAGTATTACCTGCCCCATTTCAGATTTTAAAATTCATTTCATATTTTAAATACGGGGTTTTTATTTTTTTTATTCACCCCAAACACGGGGAATTCCAGAGTCCCACAGAACATCCAATGCTTTAGGGGTGATAACGTTAGGGTAGGTCGGTGTTCATTTCAAACCGCAACACCCCTATAATTTTGGACGTTTCGGGGAATTCCCGGATTCTCCGTGTTTCGGGGTGAATTTAAAAAAAAGAACCAAATAACGGTAGTCACTCAGTGTACACTTCCGGTTGGATACTCACTATGCATCCATCGTTGTTTCTGGGGAAACCTTGGGTACAGAACATGTCAGTCCCAAGAGAGCCGGAGTTGGGCGTAGCAGCGGTGACCATCACGTTACACAGGTTCCAGTCCATGAACCTCACAGGGGCGGATCGCAGCTGGGTGCTGGCTGGAGGGCAGAGAATCTTGTTTGTGACAAACTATACGATAAACGTATAATATCTTTAATAGTGGTCATTTTGAATGTGCTGCATTTGAGGTTGAAAGTTACTTATATATCCTTTGCAGGACAACCCCAAGCATTTTGTTGTTGTTGTTGCTGTTGTAGTTTTTCTAGGCAAATATTACGTTCAGTAGTTTGCCATTGCTCACTGAACGGTCAGCTCTTAGTACCACTGTCGAAACCATCACAGGGCAAACCGTTCCTTAGCTGGGATCGAACCCGGTATTACGAAGCGCGTTCGTAACACCTAAGCCACATACCCCGGGGGGTCGGAAGTGTTTAATCTTTTCATAGTTTACGTTAGGTCCTATTTAAGTAGCAAGTTACTTCCCGACTGTCCTTGGACGCTGTCTTCTTTCTGTTCTCAGCTTTTCCTTGCTAACTGTCTTCTTTCTGTTCTCAGCTTTCCTTTGCTAACTGTCTTCTTTCTGTTCTCAGCTTTCCTTGATAACTGTCTTGCATCTGGTCTCAAATCCCGAAGTAACGGTAATCCTTCCAACCTAAACTCTTTGATATAACTATTTCTTCTGGTCTCAATCTGGTCATCTTTGCTGTGTCAACTGTTCTAGAGTCGAGACCACATGGGGCCACGCAGAGATTCATCAGCACTGGATTGCTCAGACATACTTGGGTAATCATGGAGACTGATCCACATATAAAAGTATCGGTGTGCAGCGCAAGCGATATTTTATAAAATAAACTGACGTTTTATTCGTTTTTCTTCTCTCTGCCTCCATACACACTCTCTCTATATATATATCTCTTTCTCACTTTCTCTCTCTTATTTTCTTTCTTTTCCTTCCTTTGTCTTTCTTCCTTTTACTTTCCGTGTTCCTTTCTTTCTAAGTCCTTTCCTTGTCTTATTCTTTCTTTCCTTCCTACTTTTCCGACTTTCTTTCTTTCTTTCTATCTTACCACCCAATCACAAAACCCAACAACTATTATCACCTTACCTTGACCTGTTGCGGTGACTCCCCAGCCAGACACAAAACACTGAGCCGGTCGCCGGAGCGGCACAGCCGGGTCCGGCAGACACACGGGCTGGACTCGCTGAGTGAAGATGACGGGCCGGACCAGCCTCAGCACGGCCAAGTCGTTGCCTGTAGATGGGACGACCTCGTTAGTCTGTCTATCGGTCTGTCCATCCGCCTATGTTTCTACTTGTCTGTTCGTCTATCTGTCTGTGTATATATCTATCTGTTTGCCGGTCTGACTGTGTAATCTGTCCATCCGTCTATCTGTCTATCTATCTACCTGTCTGTTCGCCTGTCTGTCTATATGTCAATCCACCTATCTTCTACCTGTCTTTCCATCTGTTTACATGTCTGTCTATCTTTCTGTTCATCTGTCTTCCTGTCTGTCCATCTGTCTACATGTCTGTCCATCTGTCTACCTGTACCTGAGTGTATGTATGTATGTATGTATGGATGTGTGTATGCATGTACATTTTGTCCATGTATGTATACATGTGAATGTATGTATGTGTGCATATATGTATGTAGGTGCATGTATTATGTATGTCTGTATATGTATGAGAGTGTTTCTTTGTAAATGTAGCTGTGTAAGTATATGGGTGTATGGGTATTCATGCATGTAGCTGTGTATGTTTATGGATGTGTGTTTTTATGAATGTATGCAAGTATGCATGTATGTAAGTATGTGGGTATGTATTATGTATGTGTATGTATGTATAAAAGTATCTATATGTGTGTATATATGTATGTATTATCTGGGTGTGTGTGTGATTGTGGGTGTATGTGTGTATGCATGCATGTGGATATATGAATGTATATTTAAGTTTGTATGTGTGTGTATTTATGTATATATGTTGTAAGTATGTGTGACTGTATGTGAGTGTATGTGTGATTGTGGGTATGTGTGTATATTATGTAGGCAAGTATGTATGTATGCATGAGTGTATGTATGTATGTGAGTATCTGTATGGGTGATAATATATGTGTGTATGCATGCATGTGTGAGTATGTATGTAATGTGTGTCGGCATGTATGTGGGTGTGTGTATGTGTGCATGTTTGTGGATGTGTGTATGCATTTGTAGATGTATAAGTATGTGGGTGTACATGTGTGTATTTAGGTATGTAAGCATGTATGTGTGTAAAGATGTAGGTGTGTGTATGTATATGTGTATATGTATGTTTACATGTGAGTGTGAATGTGTGGTTGTGGGTGTCTGTACATGTGATTGTATGTGTGTGTATGCATGCATGCATGTGTAGGTGTGTATGTATGGAATGTGTGTGTGCATTTATGTCCATATATGTATGTGTGTGTCTTTTCTGTTTGTGTATATATATGTAGATGCGTTTATGTATGTTTGTATGTATGGATGGATGGATGGATGGATGTATGTATGTGCTAGGTATGTCGGTATATGAGTGTGCATATATGAGAATGGGAGAGTGTGTAAGACTGTGTACACATGTTGTATGTATTATATTCTATAATGTATATTTTTATTCTATATCCATAACATGCATTTTAGATAACAGGCAGTGGTACTCTGAAAAACGAGTGCTTAAAAGGGCCGAATGTCAGACGGGCCTGCGTGCCCAATTTGTAACCCTTTGAAAATAAAGTTTGTTCGTTCGTTCGTTCGTTCCATCTGTCTACCTGTCTGTCCATCTGTCTATCTGTCCATCGTTCTACCTTTTTATCTACCTGTCTGTCCCTCTGTCTACCTGTCTGTCCATATGTCTACCTGTCCATCGTTCTACCTTTTTGTCTATCTGTCTGTCCATCTGTCTACCTGTCTGTCCATCTGTCTACCTCTCTGTCCATCTGTCTGTCTGTCCCTCTGTCTACCTATCTGTCCATCTGTCTATCTGTCCATCTGTCTACCTGTCTGTCCATCTGTGTACCTGTCTGTCCATCTGTCTACCTGTTCATCGTTCTACCTTTATATCTACCTGTCTGTCCATTTGTCTACCTGTCTGTCCATCTGTCTACCTGTCTGTCCCTCTGTCTACCTGTCTGTCCCTCTGTCTACCTGTCTGTCCATCTGTCTACCTGCCCATCGTTCTACCTTTTTGTGTATCTGTCTGTCCATCTGTCTATCTGTCTGTCCATCTGTCTACCTGTCTGTCCATCTATCTGTCCATTTGTCTATCTGTCTGTCCATCTGTCTACCTGTCTGTTCCTCTTTTTGCCTTTTATTATCTACCTGTCTGTCTGCCTGTCTGACAGTGGTACAAGAATAACACCGTAGAAAAGATTAGAGCCTTAGCTTGTAATATTCTTAAAGACAACTGTGCATCAACAAATCCTCATCAGCCAACCTAGCTTGCGGAGACATCACTTTTTTTAAATATAACACACATTTTCAGCATCTGTGGGTGCTGAAATCTGAGGGGGAAAGGGGGGGGGGGGGTACAAGAAGGTTGGAGCCATTCACCTCCAGATTCCAGCACCCATAGTACTGCTGTGTTTTTTTTTTTTAAACCTCCCCCAATAACAGTTGGTAAGAGAAGTAACACCCTTTATTCATATATGGAAATTCTTTTACAAAGTCTGTTATTTGATGTTCCGTACATTATTAATACTATTATTACGCTCTTGCACTACTGTTCGTCACTTTGAGCTCCCGTCTCGAAAAAACAAATCACGATGGGAGGAAAGGGTTGGCTATGTATGTAGCTGAACACGCGACCCTCCACCTTCCCGCCCCCTCCAAATTTTCTTTATGTCAGCACCTCTCGTCAGTACTCACCTCGTCTGCCAGCTTGGAAATTCTGGTTGATCTGGATGTTTCGGACAGCAACGACCCCCTCATCCGGCTCTGCTTGTGTGGAATCAAAATCGCCCAGTCTGACTTGTAGCTGGTTGGGTTGTGTTCTAGGAAGAGAGAGAGAGAGAGAGTTGTGCTGATTGTCCTGCGTGTCTGGACAACTGCCCTTGTCGTCAGTTAGAAGACATAGAAGATGATTATATCTATAGTAAGTAAAGGACCCTTTTCCATTCCATGCCTTCACACGTATTGGGCATATTGGGTTAGACCTATATTTTATAGAACAATCAGCACTTGGTGGATGATGTGGATCGGCACCATGCCGGCCACCTTTACTTCCCAGGACTGCACCTGATACCCACTCAAGGCTGGGTCGACCTGGGAGCCAAGGTCATTTCTGAAAAAAGTCTGGCTCCGTCAGGATATATATATATATATATATATATATATATATATATATATATATATATATATATATATATATATATATATGGCGGAAAGGGGAGTAATGGGGTCTTTATTTCTATCCGTGTAGGTGTTTTGTGTATGCTGGTTGTACTTGAAAGTCTGTGATATACTTGTTTGTTAAGAGTTTTGTGGTGTTGTGAGTGTGTTTAACAACAAGATTTACAAACTGAGATGGTACATTGTGTGGTAAAGAGAGGGGTGGAATAAAAAAAGAGAAGAAATTCACGAGATAAAAAGAAAAATGAGAGAGTGCGGGAGTGCATGAGAGAGAGACTCCATTCAATAATCTCTTGACAGCTTTCTGTCTGAGGGAAGGGATGAGACCGATATACAATCAGACGGTTACTGGTACCATCGGAATTAGAACTCTTTGCTTGCTGCTGAGGATGGGAACTGAGCACTTATGGGATTTCCCGAGTGCTGTGATGTCGATTCTTAATTCAGCATTTAACATTCTGAGTTTTACGTGGTCTGTCTTGTCGCTGCTTTCCATGAAGGTTTTGGAGTGATCTCCCATGTTTTGTGGTTTTGTAGTGGTATTTCAGTCTGATAGTTGTCACACACAAAAAGGGTTGTTATCTTCTCCTGTGAGGTCAAGAATGTATTATGTGGCATATCATGGAGTGGATGTACAAGAATCAACAAACGCTGTTCTTTCGATTACAATTAGCATTGTTCATCCTCTGGGTGTGTGTTTGGGGAAGGGAAAGGGGTAGGTCTTGCAATATATTCAAGGAGGCGTGTGAGTCTTGCCATATACCCGGGTTATAGGGGAGGGGGCGCGGCGGGGGGGGGGGTTGAGGGGGGTACTCATCTTACCTAGTGCTGGGGGTGTGGGGTATGGGGGTGGGGGGGGGCATAAATTACGAGCGTCAAGAAAAATGATGTAAAGGTGTTTTTGTCGGGGTGTCCTTTTTTCAGAGACATCCAGTACTACCACCACCACCATCCTCTTAAAACCTTCAATACCACCACCTACTGAGGTTCGAACCCACTGTCTCCACTACTCACCTGGCCACACAGTGAGCCACGGTGACCACCGTGTCGTCATCCACCAGTACACCTGTACAAACTCCCGGCACGCTAGCCTGGGTTCCCAGCAGCCTAACCACCCAGGGCCAAATTGTTGGCTGGGTCACACTTCCTGGCACAATGCGCGCACGCACCGATGTCATGTTGCCGCATTCTGTTGGG